TGGATGAGAATGAGGATGTGTCCATGGAGTTCATGCATGGAGCCCTGGAGAGGGATAAAAAAGATGGAGTGAGATGTTTTTTTATGTCTAATTTCTTTCTAATAGCCTGTTATCTTTTATACAATTTTATCTCATAGGTGTTTCTGGGGTTTTATTGTGCTCCTGTGCCCACAAACTGGCAGTTTTGGCTTTTAGAACATTTTAAATGTTTAAAAGTTTTATTAAATGCATTTTTAAAGCAGTTAAGTTTATTTTTAGGTTTTTTTTGCAAAAATTCATTTTTTTGTGTTTGCATATGATTAACAAATCACCCACATGTCCTTATAATAAAGCATATGACATCCAAATTCTGTAATTATTTTAAAATGAATAAATATTTTAATAATAGAAAAAAATAATTAAAAAAATAATGAAATAATAATAATAAAAATGCTGATGAAATTATATAATATACTAATATAATAAATTATGTTTGTAGCTTTAATATACATTGTTCAGATTCTTTTATATTAATGTAGTTTTTATATTTCTATTATTAAAATATCATTTTTTTATCATTTTAAATTTTTTAATTTTAAATTTATTTTTTATCATTTATTCATCGGTATTACACTTTGTAAAAACTTTTGCTTATTGGTGTTTGGAGGAACCTCTTAATAAACACTATTTTAAATATCTATTTAGAATTTTAATCAATCTTTATTAGTAAACAAATTTAATTTATCTAATTATTTTGCCTTGCAATTCAAAGTTGAATAACAGAAGAAAATGGCAGACATAAACTTGGAATTTAAAAATATACATTTGCCTTAAAAAATGGAAATGGTGTGTAAACATGCATCTGTGTGTGTGTGTTTTCAGTTCCAGCAGACATCGGAGCACGCACTCTTCTCCTGCTCGGTGGTGGACGTCTTCACTCAGCTCAACCAGAGCTTTGAGATCATCAAGAAACTGGAATGTCCCGACCCCAAAGTCATGGCCCTCTACAGCCGCCGATTCGCTAAGGTGCACCATCCGCAACCCTTATAATCTCATTACTAACCTGCTCATGTCAGAACAAATGTCCACCGTCAGAGCATTATCTGTGTTTTTAGAGAGATCAGCCAAAGGGCAGATGAGGAATATCAATGCAGCAGAAACATCCATCTGACAGATGAGACTTTTCTGTAATCAACTGGAAACGTTTAAAGGTTCACTCACTGAAGTGCTTTTGTTAGATGTATGAAGTAATTTCAACTGAAACAAGAAGACAGGGTGAGGCATATTAAGTAGCCCCTCCCCCTTTAAAAAATAGCATTCAGTTTAATTTGTAGCTCTGCCATTCAGATTCATGCACTAAAGCACATCTAGTCACACAAGAATTTGAGGATTTGACATCAGTTTAGACATTGATTAGTTCAGACAAAAGTGCGGGACAATACAAAATCATGTAACACTGCTGAAACCAGCAAATTCTCCATGTTTTGCATTTCTATACAGAAAAGTCACATTTTGATCTTGTATTGGTCTTACGCAATCACGTGACATGAATTTGCAGGTTAGAATTCGTCAAGCTTGAACTTGAACTTGAAAACTTTTTGAATCTAAGGAAGTCAATCGAACAAAATCTGCAGTGGTTTAATTAAGCATAAATTTTATTAAGTTGTGCAGTTTTATGAATAGGATACCTATTCTGTGGGTAATAAATTAGGGCTTAATCAAGTAAAACTATACTCTTGTTTATTATGTATAACATGGCTAATGCAGTTGAATAGCTTTACTTGTAATTTACTTTTTCATTAACTTCAATGAAGTAGAAAAACATTTGTCTAGCTGCGCCAGGACATAGTTAGATGACCCTAACCTTATAAGCATGTCCTTATTTAATAATAATAAGCCTTATTTGTGCTGTGGTTATTGGTCTTTGGTTGAAATGCAAATTTATGTCTTTGTTTTTTAACTAAATCATCCACAGAAATCAGTGCTTTTTTGAAACTGTGCCCTTGTTGGATTTGCTGTTTGGTAAATCTGGTCCTTAATAACCACTACTATGATAGAAAAGCACAGTCCCATCAGGAATCTTTATTGGACATGTGGACGGCTGTTCGGCTGATGGCCAGCCGTTTTATGTGCTGAAAGAATGGCTGAGATGAGCCTTTTTTTCTATAGATTTCTTGAAATGTTTGCCTGCCTGGTTATTTGTTTTTGTGGTAATGCTATTGTCGCCAAGACATTTTGACTTTTGAAAAACGTTAAGCTCAGTCTTCATCCTTTTGCGCCCACAGACCATAGACAAAGTCCTGCTGCAGTACAGTGCCATTTTGAAGAAGAGCTTCCCGTCCTACTGCGATAAGGAAAAGATTGTAAGTTATTCTCCCGATAGTAAGTGTTGACATTTCTGTTCGTTTGCCATCTTTGCTAACAAAACTGTTTTTTGGATAAAGCATTTTATTTATTATTTGGATGTTTCCAAAACATAGTTATTAAGTTATAATCTGTCATGGATTCATTATAAAAATGTTAGTTTCTGTATTATGCACTGTAGGTATCATATAAAATATTAATTTGTGTATTATTGTATTAAAGGTTGTATATATCAATAATAGTTACATTGTATTACATTAGATTTATCTATTTTTTAATTAGTTACATTTTTTAGATTAAGTGTTTTAGATATTTTTTCTATTATTAAACATAATTACCATACAATAATAATTATCATAAACTTATTACCATCAATCCATCTCCACTTCCTTTCAAATCCATATCCATCCATCTCCATATTCATATCCATCTATATCCATCCATATCTTTTTCCAAATCTATCCATATCCATCTATATCTATCCATATCAATATCCATACCCATTCTTATCTATATCCATCCATATCCATCTATATTCATCCATATCTATATCCATATCCATCCAGATCTATATCCACATCTATCCATATCTATACCCATATCCATTCTTATCTATATCCATCCATGTCCATATCTATATCCATATCCATCCATATTTATATTCACATCCATCCATATCCAAATCCATCCTTATCCATATCCATCTATATCCATCCAAATCTGTATCTATCCGGATCCATCCATATCTATATCCATCCATATCTACATCCATCCATATCCATTTATATCCATCTACATATATGCTTATCCATCTATATCCATCCTTTTCCATCTATATACATGCATATCCATTCATATTTATCTATATCCATCCAAATCCATATCTCCATCCATATCTACATATATCTATATACAGACTACATTATATGTTTTTGATTTTAATAATGTTTTGTAATAAATCTCTCTGTTTGTCCTCAGCCGTGCGTCTTGATGAATAATGTCCAGCAGTTGCGTGTTCAGCTTGAGAAAATGTTCGAGTCTATGGGTGCCAAACAGGTAAGAGAGCAGCAGAGAAAGATGCCCTTCACTAAACACAGACTCGTTCGTCCTCTCCTCATTTGTCTGGGACATTAGAGGACACCAAAGCCTACTTTCACTCTACGCATATTAAGAGAAACAGGCCTGATTCAGCACTGTTTGGTTGACATTTACATTCTTTGCTTTTATGTTTATTTTGAATATACAGCGGGTAAAAGTAAATATTGAACACATCGCCATTTTTGTAAGAAAGCAAATACTGAAGGTGTTGTTGACTTGACATTTTCACCAGTCAGCTTCAGTAAATAAAGTTCTAGTTTCTGGCTGTTAAAGAAATCAAACGAGCATTTGCTGTTGTTTTTTCTCCCTTAGACTGCTTCAGAAGAAGCCCGGGTATGAGTATTTTTTTTAGTTGGTAGAAAAAGTAGTGTAGAATTTAAAAAGTTGTTGTGAATTGTTTTTAATAGGATAGTTTGAAACTTCACCTAGTCACCAGGATAGCAGACTTTAGAATTACAGTATACAGAATAAAGAGTGTGATTTACATTGTTTTTTGAATAAAGATGGATGCAGTTGTGAACACTGAGGAGGAGGAGGAGGAGGAGGAGGAGGTGGGTGCACAGAGATATTGTGTCCCATAACATAAACATTTACTGAATGTTTGTGTGTTTCCAAAGGTATTAAAACCAGGTTGTATCACGGGTTGTAAAATGCAGAATATAAATGCATCTTTTTATACTATAATTCAGACCCCAAATTCTTAGAGTATATCTTGCAATTCAGACATTTTCTGTTCACATAAAACTAATTCAAAATTGAGGGATGTAAACTTTGATAATTCTGTAAGTAAATGTCTCACAATTCTGTTTTTGTCAGTGATATTTTTCTCTCCGAATTTACAAATGTAATGTAATCAAGTAATGTAATAAGTTTATATCTCTCATTTCTTTTTTCTCAGAATTTTTTTTTAAATATTTGTAGGTTTTTTGCAGTTAACTATTTTCTCCAAACTCTTGAAAGAATTAAACAAAAATGACAAAACGTGCATTTTTGTAAACAAAAGAGTTTATATTTTAAGAGTTTATATTTTGCAAATATAAGTTTACATACATTTTGTCTTATCTCAGAATTCTCTTTCAATAGCAACTTTTGCTAAATCGTGATGTCAATTTCATTTTGATATATCATGCAGCCCTATTGTGAAATACAAAGTCCAGTTTTCAGGGGGAAAAAGGCTGAACTGACAAATGTTTTTTTGATCCATGAAAACAAGCCTCTATATACAGGGAACTGCATGCAAAAAATACAAGTGAAAAATACAAGAGAGTCTTACTATTACCCTTTTATCTTATTATTCAGGTTATAGAGGAAAATGCTCAAGAAGCTGAGGTGGGTACAAATAGGCTAGATATACTGTAGCTTTGTAAGACTTTAGTCATTTATCAGTAGCCTCCTACCCAAAGCACATCCTAGTGAAACCATTAATACAGAACTTAAATTGATATCAGAAATTCAGTAGTCTGGATGGTAGAGTAACTGCTGGTGATGTACAGTCAATGTGTGCTTGATCAGAACCCTGAGCTCATAAATGCTGTTGTATCAGGTGACTTTGAACTGGTTTGGTCGTGTTTATTTGAGAAGTATGAGGGGTGGGTGTGTGTGTGTTTCTGAGGCGGCTTTAGTTGAGTTTCTGTCTCAGGCTGATTAGTAAAGGTTTAGTGTGTTTCTGTGCATGAGACAATGACATTCCACTCTCCACATTGCTGGTCTGTTGTTTTTATGTTATGTTAGAACTGCAGCACTAAAAAATCCAACTAGTTCATTTTGACTTAATGCTCTTTATTTTAAACTATATATTAGTGCTGTCAATCTATTTTTAAAATTAACTAATTAATCACACTTTTTTTTGTTAATAAAAATATGGTTGTATTTCACAAGGATTCTGACACAACAAAGCGAAGCATACGCTTTTGTTGCGTTTAAGGAGAAAACAGGTCAAACTTAATGAAACATTGGAAGGTGCATGCTGAAAGGCATTGGAATGCGCTGTCTTTGACAGCTCCCGACTTTATCTGACACTCTTTGAGTACATTTACATGGACACCAATACTCTGATTTTAATATGATTAAGATAATACTCTTATTAAGAGTCTACTATGTAGGCAACGATTTTTGATTACCTTAATGGTCCACTGAGTCACGAAATGGGGAGGTTTTTCTTTCCATTCGCTATGCGGTATAAAATTTAATTAAAACAAAAGTTAAAAGTTAAAAATGAAACGCCCGAAATTGCATGAAATTCTGGAGAGCCTGGTGATGCGACATTAATTGTTTATCGGACCAATCAGCGCAGATTAGCATCCTGCTAAAGAGTTTGGGAACAAATGAATCACTGAACGATTTATATGGGAGTCGTTGGGATAATTATGTAAAAATAAATGCAGATCATAAGACAATGAAGTGTTTTTTGACCTTGCATGTATATCGGCCTGTTATTGGAGACACTCAAAACCAAAATATGACCCTTTTTAATGCATAACAGCGGCTCTTTAACCTAACATGCCTAGGTAACCCAAGTGACCTAATTAAGCTATGAAATTGCACTTTAAGCTGAATACTAGTATCTTGCAACATAACTAATAAAATACTATCACATATCATTAAGGGAAATACAAAAGAAATAAGTTATTTGTTATTAAGTATTATGTTTAATGATATGTTGGGAAAAATATTTTAAAAATTTAAATAACACTAAACAATGGGGTCTTATTGTTACCAAAATATAGAAAGGGGTGGTCCACTACAATATCATATTTTAAACTGTAGTTGATGTGTAATGTAGCTGTGTGAACATAAACAACATCTCTGAATGTAAAATCAAGGTAAAGGAAAAAAGATTAAGGCAAAGGAACTTAGCCTTATTAGCTCATTAGCTTAGCAAAGCCTACAATGAATGAAATTTGGGGACTACAAAAAAATACTTCCAGGCTAGTGAAATCACAAACTTACTTTTACCGTGCACACACACACTGCACAGCTAAGGGGTGTGGCCAGAGGCGCTGTTACGTTACAGTAAAGGGAGATAAAATGCCGTTCAAATGCTGCTTTCTGTATTTGGGCTTCCGAATGACACAACACAAATACAGAAGTGCTTACAGTTCAATATTAATTATGTTCCAGGGAATTATAAAATACATAGCAAGCATGATTCAACAAAACACAGCTTCCAGAATCTCTCCCAGTTCAGTGCTGGATTCAGTAAAAATGTCCTCGAGGAAGGAGCAGCTCCAACAAGCAGAAGCTATAGCCTGTGAGTTTTTATTTGTTAAAATTGATCATGACATGTACAGTGTCTAGCCTTAACGGTGTGTTGTAGCAATAGTGTAAACAATCGGGAATGGAATTTGGCATCGCTAACAATTTAGCTACATACATGTTCATATTTATCAGTCAAACTGCTGTAAACACACACACACACTCTTCATCAGCGCATGCGTGTCTCTCTATAGGCAGCTTTTCCATGTGTTTTACATCTTAGAATGAACTCGCAAAAGATATGTGAATGATTCATATTACTTACACATGCATATTATGAATTTATGTGAAAGACGCTGTGTAACACGTTGAGTAAAAAAATACATGAAACCTTGCCTAACTCGTGTAGTAGGGCTGCTCGATTTTGGTCATAATTGTAATCACGATTTTTCAAAACGATAATCAGGTGAAGTCAAAATTATTAGTGCTCCTTAGAATTTATTTAAAAATAAAGATTTTCCAAATGATGTTCAACAGAGCAAGGAATTTTTCACAGTATTTCCTCTAATATTTTTTTCTTCTGGACAAAGTCTTATTTCATTTGTTTTGGCAAGAAGAAAAGCAGGTTTAAATATTTTGAAACTCATTTTAAGGTCAATATTATTAGCCCCTTTAGGCAATATATATTTTTGATTGTCTGCAGAAGTAAATACTGGTATACAATGACTTGCCTAATTACCCTAATTTAGCCTTTGAATTACACTTTGATTTTGAATGCTTGTATTTTGAAAAAAATTGAGGCAAATATTATGTGCTGTCATCATGGCAAAGATAAAAGAAATCAGTTATTAGAAATGAGTGGTTAAAACTATTTTGTTAAGAAATGTATTAAAAAAAAATCTTCTTTCCATTAAACTGAAATTGGAGGAAAAGGGTTGTTAGTATTTAGGAGGGCTAATAATTCTGACTTCAACTGCACATATACAGTTATTTTCCACCCTGCAAAGGAAAGAGAAATAAATACAGTAGAATAAAAATATGAAACAAACTATGCTTTAAGCATCTTCAATGTAAGAAAAACACTTTAGCTACAAAAGTCCCTCAGTCAAGAGGAGTGAGGGATTTTCTCCTTTGTTGTTTTATTAATAATGATAAAAACAGGCGGCAGCAGGAATATCGCGCTGTGACTTTAATGGTTTCGCTTTCACATGTCTTCTGATCCTCAACTCGTTAGTGTATTACACAAATGAGGGTTAATATGAATAATCACTAAACACTGCGTTCTGACACCTATATGACCATTAAGCGCTCACATTAAGATGACTTTAGATGTGTGTGCTCTGCTCGTCACAGTGTGCGAATGAGACCGAATGCTGACCGCATGCTTCTGACTGTGTCTGCGCGCCGCACACACACATACATAAGTATGCGGTCCTTCGCACTTTTAAGAGCAACAAATGTGTACAACTGGAAAGGGGCGGTAAATAATGAAATAATCGTTTATCTCGATTAATGGTTTTTCATAATCATTAGAAACCAAAATCGAAATCGGATTTTCGATTAATTACACAGCCCTATCGTGTAGCGAAAAAATAAATCAAGGCTCACACAGGTCGCATCTTATGCTTTATTCTTCTGTCAACAGTGTCACTGTATATTACAGAACATTAACTTAATCCGAGCATCAGAGAAAAACAAAAATAAACATCGGTCCCGCGCACATGCGCTTCTCGTGTTACACCTTTCTACAGACAGTTCTGACAAACATACACATACCCACACACACAATGGCGATCTCTCTTAAAGGAGCCGCACCCCACTTTCACTCGTTACAGACACTTGTCAGATTTAAACAGCACATCGCAGCACATTATAACAGATGACCAATCAGAGCCTCTTGAGGGCGGGTCTTTCTGAGAACTAGGAAATATGTCAGTAGTTTTCATGTTAGCTGAGTAGCTGTATATAATCAAAGTGAGATTTATGAAAAAAATTACGTGATTTCCTTCAAGTGTAACATTAGCACACATTGCTTTGCATATTATAAACACAACCAAGCCTTAAAATTATATTCTGGACCACCCCTTTAAAACTCAGTGTTACATTTAATCCCGCATTACTTTGTGCCCCGTGCTCCCCTACTTTATGTAGTCATTTATTGCATAGACATTCTGCTCTATTATCTGCAGTGTGGTAGAAAAGCAGCTGAGACTTTTTGCTTTCCTCGAAATGAAAACAGAACTTATAAGTTTTGTTTTGAGGGATGTTTGCCACATTTGCATCCATGTTGCAGGATGTCCTATACCAGGGGTGTCCAAACTCAGTCCTGGAGGGCCGGTGTCCTGCAAAGTTTAGTTCCAACCCCAATCAGACACACCTGGGCAAGTTAATCAAGCTCTTACTAGGCTTTCTAGAAACATCCTTGCAGGTGTGTTGAGGCAAGTTGGACCTGAAATCTGCAGGACACCGGCCCTCCAGGACTGAGTTTGAACACCCCTGTCCTATAGCGTGATGCATACACATCAGGTGTATTCTGCAGTGACACCTCCTGGCCAAGTAATGACAGCTACTTGTTTACAAAAGCTCTGCGCGCAAACATTTGCTTCGGTCTGAATGTATGATCTGGCTTCTGTCCCCAGCTGGAGGAGAGTGAGGACGAGGAGGATGAGGAGTTACTGGAGGTTTGTTATTGGGATCATCCGTGCTCGTCTTTCATCCGTTTTTGTCCTTTTAATCCAGCAATCTCCCGAGCGTCCCGTTGAGTTGTGCTGTCCCTCAGTCAGTCTGAACTGTGTGTGAACTCCCATCCGCTCCTCGAGCCTCCAGCAGACGCTCACTGTGACCTTCATCTCATTTCTCTCTGTTTGGGAAGTTGATCACATTCAGGGGGAAACTACTTCATACTTTTCACTAAATACCTTTTCACTAGTCCCTTTAACTATCAAATAAATAATAGCAAGAGATAAGCACTGGGCTTTATGTAATGTACTTACAGTTTGAGTTTTCTTTTTTTGTGTAATTTATAATAATGATTAATAAATAATAAAAACAAATATATAATACAGTATATTCAGTTGAATTATTATTAAATAATCATTTAAACATATTTATAATACAGTATATTCAATATAAAAGTAGTTAATAAAAAATTACAATTCTCACAATTTTCATTTGAATTTTTGGTGTTTCATATGAAAACTAATGTCCTAAATGCTGCAAAACTGGAATATGTAATATTAGTGTAACATCCTGGGGCAGACTTATAGCTATTATAGTTTTTTTGTTAAATATTTATGCATTTTTTCCTTTAGTGCCTTGAAAAAAATGATTCATTGGATTTACAAAATTTCTTGAGTTAAATTTTATTTGAAAAATAAAAAGAAATATATTTGGGCTGAATGTAAACAAACAAATTAACTTGAGCATTACTAAATCTAATTAGTTTGTTTAAATTCAGCCTGTATGAATTGTTTGCAATCATTTACCTTAAAAGAATGCAGTAAAAAAAGCATTTAATTTTACAATATTCATTGTGGTAACCCCTTACCCTAGTGTTTAACAGTTTTTAAGCTGGTTTTAAGTGGACACAAAAACAATTTGATTTTTTCCCCCACATTCCTGCTCATAGGAAACGTCAGAAGACAAGGTGTGTATTTATTCCATTGAGTCACATAAAATTATTAATTTGTTCAAAATTTTGAACATACATACTTTATTCGTCCAATATTGAGCTTGATTTTCACTTTTGTAATTCTACAACATTTGTTTATCTGTCTGAAAAGCCTCATAAAGCAGACAGAGAGCAGAAGGTGAGAGTCCGACTTGTTTCTCACTCCTGTATTCATCCATAATCATTTATTTTCGGCTCAGCAATCTCTTTAATAGATCCAGCTTTTGTTTTCAGCCTTCCTATTGGTCCAGAAATCAATCAAAATAAACAAATATTCAATTGAGCGATTGATTTATATGAACCGTGTTGGAAATTTTGTGATTTGTTGATTGTGCAAGGTACTTCTAGATTAATAGGAGTTTGGACCAATAGGATGCTCATATGCAAGTAACCCTGACTCAAATTGCTCACTATTTGGCAGATTTTTGTTAGCTAATGCAAAAATAAATAAATAAATAAACAAATAAAATAAATCAATTTTTGCAAATTAAGCTCAGTGACCAATGACAGATTATTATACATTTTCTAAATATTTCCTAAATTATGTTAACAGAGCAAGGAATTGTTCACGGTATGTCTGATAATATTTTTTCTTGTGTTATTTGTTTTATTTCAACTAGAATAAAAGCAGTTTTTAGTAAAAAAAAAAAAAACATTTTAGGGACAAAATTATTAGCCTCTTTAAGCTATATTTTATTTCGATAGTCTACAGAACAAACCATCGTTACACAATAACTTGCCTAATTATCCTAACCTGCTTAGTAAATCTAATTAACCTAGTTAAGCCTTTAAATGTCACTTTAAGCTGTAAAGAAGTGCCTTGAAAAAGTATGTAGTCAAATATCATTGCCATCATGTCAAATTGTCATCATGGCAAAGATAAAATAGATCAGTTATTAGAAATTAGTTAATAAAACTGTTATGTTCAGAAATGTGTTGAAAAAATCTCTCCGTTAAAACATATATATATATATATATATATATATATATATATATATATATATATATATATATATATATATATATATATATATAATCATACCATCATTGTTAAATCTTTCTGAAAGTCTGTGAGAATCCAAGGAGATTCAATCACAAAATTATTTCAAAAAAGAAAAAAAAAAAAAAATTGGCAGATTGACTTTATTATAAAAAGTTTTTTCTTGTATGTCAAAAAATATAAAGGTTACAAGGTACTATTGTGTAAAACAAAACAAAAAAAGTAGTAAAATTATATTAGTTACATTGACTTCACTAGTAAAATGCTACTTTATTGTGTTGTAAATATATTATAGTTTTTACAAAAATGACTTCACTAGTAAAATACTACTACTTTATTGGTTTTAGCCTACAAAAATAGCTCCGACACCTCTAGAAAACTAATAGTATTGAATGACTAAACCCAAACCCTTTACCTGCTCAGTAGGTTGCTGATAAGTCTATTGTATGCAAATGGCTATGGTGTAACTGTTGAGTTGACTGCATGTTAAACATGTTGCTTTATTTTGCTCTTCTTGAAGGTGGTGGTCAGGAGCAAGGTGGGTTTTTCAGCCATTGCTGTCAGAGAGAGTTTTTGATAGCTCAAAAAGAGAGGACTTCAGTTTGCTCATTCTTCATCACATTCCCTTAATTCTCTGAAACTGTGAATTTTGGCAGGATGTTTTTGCCCCGACACTGTGAAATCATGTGATTGTCTTCACTCCCTCTGAACTGCCATGTACCATCAGTAAAGAGGAAAATGGTGTTTGTGCATCAGGTGAAATGCTGTCTGTTGGATGAGGTGATCATGTTTATGTGTTTATGTGTATTTGTACAGCTGGACACTGAGGCCAGTGACCTTCTGAATGATCTGCAGGTCAAGCTAAACAACGTCCTGGATGAGCTGAGCAGCACCTTTGGAAACACGTCAGTCTTTATACAGTATATCACAAGCCTTTCCCACAAAAAAACCCTAACCCTATAAGACCCCTAAAACCCCAAAATGCTAAATCTGTGCTATATTGTGCAATAGTATTTGCAGAACCAGAGTGCTGATCAATGAAAAAGAAGGCAGTGTTGAGATCTAAAGCGATCAAAATCATTTTACTGTAAATCAATCTGACAGAGCTTTATAATTGGCCTTAAGCAGGCTTATATACTTATATGTAATAGAAGCTTTAGCAAAACAAACTTAAATCAATAAATTTTTACATAAAGAACATTTAAAACTATTTAAAATGCATGTTTGTTTTCTGACAGGATTTTAGGGATTGATTAAATCAGAAAATACTGTTAAAATAGCCATAAAAAATGACAACTGATACTAGCAATATTAAATTCATGTAAAATGTATACAAATAAAATTACTACTACAAATTATTATTATTAGCCATAGTTGCAGCAATGTGGATGATGATAAATATTATAAGCATTGTTTTTGTATTATTGCTATTGTTATTATTAATTTTACCATTATTATTATTATTATTATTATTATTATTATTATTATTATTATGCATCATAAAATCTATTTTAATAGAATGTGACTTTTGAACACACATTAGACAAGATTTTTTTTTAAAAAGAAAACACTTTGATGGATGTTTTTACAAAGGTATCACTAACACATATTTGAAGTTATTTATCAAGTACTGAATTGTAAAGTCATATTTAAATTGTAGTTTTATTTATTTAATATATTTGTTTGTGCATCATCTCTTATTAAAATATGAAGTTGTTCTTATAATGTAATGTTTTATGTATATTGATCTTGCCATAAAATTGGCATACGTTGCTTATGTGGCAATAAATTAATTAATTATTTTCATGTTTACATGATATTTGAGAATTAGAGTAAATAGTGATCATATGAAAAAGCTGCTTAATTGTTGGAATTGAGATATGCTTCAATTGCTCAAACTGTTTCATTTTATTTACATACATTATTGTAACTTTAAGTACATCTAGTTAACAAACAAAACTCATCACAAAAATAATAATAACACATATTTGATCATTCTATAACTGCAGTGTTCTTTAGTTTGAATGCCAGTTCTAGTCTGCATTGCATCATATTTCAAAACCTCTCTTTACTCCCTGATAAAGAAAGCTTGTTATTTTGTAAACTAAATGAAATGCGTGTAAATCAAAAAAGACTTTCTCTTCACCCTTTCATGTTTCCTCTGTAGTTTCCAGAGTCGTATTGATGACTGCATGCGTCAGATGGCCAGTCTGCTTTACCAGATTAAGGGTCCAGTCAACACCAACAACAAGAACCAGGTGGAGGCCGATTCTGACAACATGCTGCGGCCGCTGATGGACTTCCTGGATGCAAAGTGAGTTAAACTGTAAACTCGCATTTTCCTGAAGTGTTTACTGATGTTTTTGTATGTTTGTTCTCAGCCTGATGCTGTTTGCCTCTGTGTGTGAGAAAACTGTGCTGAAGAGAGTCCTGAAGGAGCTATGGAGGATCGTCATGAACAGTCTAGAGAAAACCATCATCCTTCCTCAAGGAAACGACACCTTTGTAAGACCTGCATGACTTTAATGCTAAACATAACATCATTTATTAAACGTTAGCTTTTTTTTTAATTCTACCTGAAGAAAATGTATTTTATTGTTTTAATTAATGATCACCTACAGTCAAGCACAAAATTATTCATACCCCTGGCAAATTCAGACTTCAAATGTAAATAAATTCTGAGAAATACAGAATGTGATGCCTCTTGTACATTTAATTCCAACTTTATTGCTTCTAATTGCGAATTTGTGAATTTGTGTCCCATAATTGCACTTTTCCCTGTCTTATTGTCTTTTGGGAGAAGCTTGTGTCATTTAAAAAAAAAGCTAGTTGAAAGTAAAAGTAACTTTAAGTCAGAATTTGGCAGAAGTATGAATTATTACGGGCTTGACTGTGAAGTTTATGCAGTGAAGATCAAAATTAAAAAACATCTTATAAACACTTGAGTAATTTCTATAATGTAATCATCATCATCATTTAAAATGTTAGTTGTTGCTATATTATGCTAAAAGAACAGCTTTTTACAGAATAGCATGATACTTTTTATAAACCTTTTATTTTGTGGAAAACAGTAATCATAATCAGCCATTCTAGATGCTTTTAGGTAGGCTATAGCCTCCCTGTCTGCCATTTTAGCCCACATAAACGATAAACTTTTAAACTAACAGTTTTATTTTATTATCATTTAAAAGTTTTTTTTTTTAATAAAACATAAAAGTGTAAAAATATTTAAAAACAAAAATGAAAATATGTTGATAAGACATGTTTTTTTTTTTATTTTGCACTTGGTGTCAGTTTGGGTGCAGTATGGCTGTTCTGCTGCTGCTGCTACAGCTAAAGATGATGTGGTGTGAAATTTACCTAAATAATGTTAAAATCTTTATTCATCAACAATAGAAATCAAAATTAGAGAACATTAATCAACTACATAAAAAAATCCTAAAGTTAACTAGGAGGAGTCTGAAAGTGTTCTCTAATGTCTCCTGATGTTTTTGTTTACTTTGCTTTTTTTCCTCTTCAGAATATATCCAAATTATGAAATTTACTTTAAAAATCTCTTTTGGTCCTGTTCGTATAAATTCAATCTGTTCTAACGCAGTGACCTTGGCATTTAGGAAACTGTAGGTTGGTCTTTAAATTTGGTCTCTGCTGTATGTTAACATGTGATATCTGCATTTACATGTAAAGACTTGTCCCCCCACTTCCATGTTGTAACGCTTTCATCTTTTTCTGGCAGGGAATGATCTTTTCAGCGGCTAAAGAACTGGGTCAGCTCTCCAAACTCAAGGTATGGCTTTAGGCTTGTTTATTCCAGATCCAGACTATGATCTCTTTAAAGCAGCTCAGAGTTCGGCTGCATGGGGAATATAGATGAAGACTTTCCGTTTAAATGCTTTCTGTATGTTTTTGAACCTTTAACACACTTAAACATGCTTTATACATGATTAATAAATAAAGTGTGTTTTCTTTATTTCTCTAAAGTTGCACTGCACTGTCCTCTATTTAGCTCTTAAAAAGTGTTAGATTATGAAAAAAACTTTCATTGTAGTAGGAAAACATGGTACTTTCGAAACACAACATGTTTCAGATTAATGAATATTTTAGAGTAGAAAAATTCCAAAGTAAAATTAGTAAAGTGGTTTCTTTCTGTTTTTTTAATACTTTTTTAAAATTTCATATTTTGTTTTGTAAACAACTTAATATGCAACATTGTGACTACAATTTTACAATCAAAACTATTATTTTCATAATTCCTGCCTTATGTGTTGATATAGTGACTTTATTTTTCATAATTACACCTCTAATTGTCATTTTGCATCCAATTTGACTTTTAACTCAAATTCGATGTTTATTTTGTATAATTGTAACTTTATTATTTTAACTGACACATTTTTTTTTCAGAAGTATGCCTTTCTATGCAATATAATTTAACTTCTCACAATTATACAATGTTTTTCTCTCTAATTTTTTTTATGCAAACATGGGATTTTTTTTAATTGTGACTATTTCTTGTTGTGGTATTTTTCTTTTATACGCAAAAATATACAACAAGTAACTTTAAATGTCACAGCTATATTTATTTTAGTCATTTGTTGTCTTGTAATTTGACTTATAGCTGTAAATAAAGTTAAACTTATCAGAAATATGGCGTTTAATCTCAAAATTGCAACTTTATTTTTCAAAATTCCAATTTAGTTTTTATAGGTATTGCTTAATTAATTGTAACCTTTTTGCTTCCTTAATTTGCTATTATACAAAATTATTTCTTTCTAAACAAAAAAAAAAAAAAAAAAAAAGGGGGGAAATGAATGAAACATGGGGGGTTTCATTAGTGTTCAAATGTTTTGTCTGTTGAATTGCATGTATTTGAAATATTATTTGCCTCTGCAGGATCACATGTCTGGTGAAGCTAAAAGCCTCACACCCAAGCAGTGTGCTGTCATGGATGTGGCCCTTGATACCATAAAGGTATGGGTGATGCTTTCTCTAAACCAGCAGTAAAACAACATTTACATCAGAGCAATTCCATATAAATGTTAACCTTGTTTAGACCAAAACATGAAAAACCTTTCTAACTTGTTTGTATTGGCCTCTGCAGTGGTTGGACAATGAAACTGAAACACCTGGTTTTAGACCATAATAATTCTTCATTATTATGGTGTAGGGGCTAGTTTTGCCACCAATACAGCATCAGTTCATCTTGGGAATGACAGATAAAAGTCCTGCACAATGGCTTGAGGAATGGCTAGAAGGATTTGAGCCATTCTTCTTGCAGAATAGTGTATGCTGATGATGGAGGAGGAACATTTTTCCTGATTCGCCCCTGAAACACCCCAAAGTAGCTAAATAATATTTAGATAGATCTGGTGACTGTGCAGGCCATGGGAGATTTATAACTTTACTTTCATGTTCATCAAACCACTCTGTCACCAGTCTTGCTCTGTGTATTGGTGTATTATCATCCTGATAGATGGCACTGCCTTCAGGATACAATGTTTGAACCATTGGGTGCACATGGTCTTCCAAAATAGTTCAGTAGTGTTTGGCAGTAATGCATACATCTACAGTAGCATAAGTACTAGGTCTAGGAAATGCTATGACATTTCAGCCCAAACCTTCACTGCATGTAACAGTCTGGTTGGTATGATTCTTTGGGGCTTCTCCACACCATAACTCTCCTGTTACTGATGTTTCCATATATTGTTAATGTATACGTTCTCTGTGAATATTTGTTTTAAGCTTTTTCTGCAAATGTCAAGTTTATATTGCTGGAATTGCTCCTCACTAACCACCTATTATTCTTTAGCAATACTTCCATGCTGGAGGAAATGGTTTGAAGAAGGCCTTCCTGGAGAAAAGTCCCGAACTGTCCTCTCTGAGACATGCACTGTCTCTCTACACCCAGACCACAGACACACTCATCAAGACGTTCGTCACTTCACAACATGCTCAAGGTGAACTTACAAACACATGCCAGTTTCACATCCATGCACACCCCAGACTTGATAACATTAGTATGTAAGGAATACTACAGTCTGAAAATTCTGTTCACGTTGTGCATTCATTTGTAGCCTTTTCTGTCTCTTACTGCTCAATCTACATGTTTTTTTCTGTTGTCGTTTGTGTTTTAATGCTTCACTTTTGACCTCTGTCTCTTTAACTGCTGCTTCTGTCTCTGCTTCAAGTGCATAATGGAAAGGGTTTGAGGATCACGCCTAGTGAGAAAATCCAGCCGTCCAGGGGTAGGTCACCATAGACTCCCTGAGACCCAGATTAATCCTTTTACGAATAATCACAGCCTCCTTCTCCAGAGCCATTCCTAGATGTGCTTTGGGTATTTTGCTCTGTACTGAAGTGAATGTCACTCTTCTACATTTAGTCTTTAAAACTTATTATTTTGCATGAAAAAAATAAGCCCTTTATTGTGAACAGTAAAGACTCCATGAAACAATTTTAATGACAGGTTTCCAGGAAGTGTCTCCAGGAGTTAAAAAAACAAAAAACTATTTTTATATGTCAAAGTCAGGGTTAGGAACTAACTTTTCAGAGAGCTTTTTTCAGTTTTATTTCTGTGTGTGAAACTATGAACCGGTTCAGTGTTGACACCTTGTGGACAAGTGCAGAAACAGTTCAAAGTGCACATGTGTACATTTTGTTGTAAAAATGCTCATTTACTTTACTCTTTAGTGTTTTTATTTTTCATTTATTATTATTTCATATTATAAATTTTTTATTAATTTGATTGGATAAAAGTTTAAGGCTGCACAGTGGTGGAGTGGGTAGCACGTTCGCCTCACAGTAAGAAGGTCACTGGTTCGAGCCTCGGCTGGGTCAGTTGGCATTTTTGTGTGGAGTTTGCATGTTCTCCCCGTGTTGGCGTGGGTTTCCTCCGGGTGCTCCAGTTTTCCCTACAAGTCCAAAGACATGTGGTATAGGTGAATTGCGTAGACTAAATTGTCCTTAGTGATATGTGTGAATGTGTGTGTATGGATGTTTTCCAGTGATGGTTTGCAGCTGGAAGGGCATCCGCTGCGTAAAACATATAAGTTTGTAGTTCATTCCACTGTGGCGGCCCCAGATTAATAAAGGGACTAAGAGGAAAAGAAAATGAATGAATGAATAAATGAATGGATAAAAATTTGGGCATGTTAATAAGTGTTAAATTACTCTGACATATCTGATTTCCGGTTGGACAAGGCGAGACATATGAAAACAGCACAACAATCTAATTTTGACTTTATGGGGTGACATTTCTTGATGAGGTTCACACTACAGTATAAGCTCCACTTTAATTAAGACTTTGTCTGCCCATGTGCATTGTCATCATTTCCTTTCCTATAAATTCAGACCAAGCTTAATCTTTACCTCTAATTCCTCAAAGCCTCCACAGTGCATGTATGGTCTATGTTTAACCGTCTTTGTTTTTTGTGTGTGTGAGTGTGTTTGTGTGCATGTACTAGTTTTTATGAGGACACATTCTTTTTTTTATATTATTACAATGTTGGTGTTGGTTTATGAGGACATGCCTTGTCCTCGTAATTCAAAACTGTTATAAATCATACTTAACAGGATTTTTTCACATTCAAAATTTGCCACAGGATTCATGTAAAAGTTGGCGGTATGATTAGGGTAAGGCTGTGTTTAGAGCAGGGGTGCCCAAACATTTTCTTATGAAGGGCCAAACTTGATTGAGGGTGGAGGGCCAAAGGTAAATATACAAAATACTACATTAAAGTAGCCATGGTAATTAACTTATTTATTAATATTTAAAAATAAATAGAAAAAATATTGAATCGTGTTAATGATGTATATTTGTTACATTTTACACTGAACTGCTTACATTAAAAACATCTATATCACAATTGTGTTCAATGCTAAATACACGAGTCAAGATGCACCTGCCTTTTCCTTGATTTGCTCATCGATAATCCTTTAAATGACAGTATTTAATTTTTAAAAAAAATCTGATTCATGCACAACATTTAATTGAGAGATTTCATTTTGGTTTGCTTTTTGTAGCTTAACATTTAAACAAACACACAAAAACAGTTACGTTAAAATTAGAAATGACAATCTCTGTTGAAGGCATTTACTTCAACCTTCCCATCATTCTCCCTATCTTCTCAGATGGAATAGCAGGCCAAATCAAAGGTTACCATTGGCCAACCTTTGATTTGGCCTGCCAAAGTTGGCCCATGGGCCTTAGTTTGGACATTTCTGGTCAATGGAGATCCTCATTCACCACCAAAACAACTGTGAACTGTATATACTGTGTGAATATCTTGGTAACAAATGGCTACTCAAAAGCGTGCTAAACCTGACTAAACCTCATTTTGGGACACATTTGATCATGTCTTAATTTGTGAAATCAATATGTTAAAATATAATATGTTGAAGTTGAATATAAGATGTTAAAATCAATATGTTTTTTTGTTTTATTATGAGATTTAGGTTATATTAGGTCTTAGAGTAGAGAATTAGGTCTTAAAAACTGACTCTATATAACAAAGCTAAAGCAAAGATGTGTTTCTGTAGGCTCAGGAGTTGATAAACCAGTTGGGGAAGTGTCCATACAAATCGATCTCTTCACTCACCCGGGCACAGGAGAGCATAAAGTTACAGTTAAAGGTACTTACTGTGTTAAAGTGACTTTTCTGTCCCACCAGTGTATTTTCTGTTGGCTGAATGTCATGTCTTTGTGTGTAGTGGTAGCTGCTAATGATCTGAAGTGGCAGACGTCTGGGATGTTCAGGCCGTTTGTTGAGATCACCATGATTGGCCCTCACCTCAGCGACAAGAAGCGCAAGTTCACCACCAAATCCAAGAACAACAGCTGGGCGCCCAAATTCAACGAGACCTTCCATTTGTGAGTGCAAGACCTAGACGTTCAAGACTGATGAGATATTAGCAGCATATTAAACAATGATGCTGAGGAAGCAAATGAGATTACAAAGAGGAGAGACTACTTTCTTTCAAAGTTCAACGAGAAAGTGTGATTATTGTATATTATTAACACCTACATTATTGTTAAAACCTGTTCAAAGTAATTGATGAATGGATGAATGTATGATAGGTAACTTAATGGATAAGTTAGTAAATATTTACATGAAAGATTCATTGCATCAGTGGATGATTAATTGCATTAATAGGTAAATATATTAAAACATTGGTGGATGGATCAGTAGATATTTAGATGAATGGATGGGTAATGGATAGATGAAAATAAATAAAATAGATGAAGGAGGTAAGGATTAATTGACAGGTAAACAGATGTATGAATAGATTTTATTGATGGAATAGTTATAAATGTATAGATACAGATAATGGGATGGATGGATAGACACCAAAAAATAATTAAATAGAGGAATGGATGGATGATAGATTTTAGTTGACAGTGTGTAGATTATTTCATGACATATGGATAGATAGATGAATGGATCAATACATGGATTAATGTTGATGGATGGATGGATGGATGGATGGATGGATGGATGGATGGATGGATGGATGGATGATAGATAGATTTTAGTTGACTGTTGATTTTTTCATGACAGATAGATAGATAGATAGATAGATAGATAGATAGATAGATAGATAGATAGATAGATAGATAGATACATGAATGGATCAATACATAGTTTGATGGATTGATGTTGATGGATGGATGGATAGACGGACGTATGGATGGATAGATAGAGGGATTAATAGTTTAATGAATGGGGATTGAGGGTTAGATCGAGAGATAGATAGATAGATAGATAGATAGATAGATAGATAGATAGATAGATAGATAGATAGATAGATAGATAGATAGATAGATAGATAGATAGATAGATAGATAGATAGATAGATAGATAGATAGATGAATGGATCAATACATAGTTTGATGGATTGATGTTGATGGATGGATGGATAGATAGAGGGATTAATAGTTTAATGAATGGGGGATGGAGGGTTAGATGGAGAGATAGATGGATGGAGATAGATAGATAGATAGATAAATAGATAGATAGATAGACAGACAGACAGACAGACAGACAGACAGACAGACAGACAGACAGACAGACAGACAGACAGACAGACAGATAGATAGATAGATAGATAGATAGATAGATAGATAGATAGATAGATAGATAGATAGATAGTTAGATAGATAGTTATCCATCCAATCACAGTGGAGGAGGGGCGGGTCTAAATTACAAAACTGTCATCCAACAATCAGCTAAAGACTTTCTTCTTGTAACGGTACAGTGGGGATACTTCGCATTTTTAGAACAGCACTTGTGATTCTGCAGAGCAAAAACACTAAAACAAGGAAAGTACACTAGTTCCTAGTCTATTGTATATGAAAAAATTAACACTGAAATCTCACAGCTGCTGGTAGCCCATGTACAAACTGGGGAACACATAAAATCTTACATTTTGAAAATAAACATACATGTGAAGCTAATTAAGATAAATTGGCCATTTCAAATTACCATATTTGTACTAAAGTAAACATAAATAAACCATCCTAATTACCAAAAATGTGAGACTGTAGTCTGTAACGCGGATCGAGTGCTTTTATAAAATGACAAAAGCCCACATCTCCAGTTACTGAAGTTAGCTGCAAATCTTTAGCAATAAACACCCGCACTGCCTTTGTTATTTAATGTTGGGTGACGGCGCTGCAGATGTGCAGTCATGGTTGTACGTTTAAAACAATGCTTGCACACAGTTATATTTTGTTCACTATTTTTTCTTATATTGGCATTATACTAACTGGAAAAATCGAAATATCCTCTCACCACAGATTTGAAGACGCCGGCGCTTTCTCGTACTGTTGCCTCACTTCGCCGGCGCTTCCGTGTACTGTTGCCTCAGCCTCACTTCACCGCCGCTCTCTTCATGTTAAAGTGTGGAATGATGGTCAAATGCCCCCTAACACTAGAGCATAGTGATTGGATATTTACTCGTGGGGAGGAGTTTCCTCATCTCAGCTCATGGATTTAAAGGCATACACAGTCAATTCGTGCAGATATAAACGCACATAAATTATTTAAACGCAAAACCGGGAAAACCGCAATTCACAAGCGCGTATTGAACCATGGAGGTTGGTATGGTTCAATATTACATAGAGAACCGTGGCATCCCTAATACACGTATATAAATATATTCTCTTTCATTATCCGTATTGGTCAGAATTTGAATATGGATGATTTTTCTTTTCTTTCTTTTTTTATTCTATGAGATTTTTAAAGAGACAGTAACATGAGCATATGTACGATAAGCATGTTTCTGCTCTGTGTGTTTAGCATTCTGGGGAACGAGGATGGGCCGGAGTGCTACGAGCTGCAGGTGTGTGTGAAGGACTATTGTTTCGGCCGAGCGGATCGCGTGGTGGGCATCGCTGTCATCCAGCTGCGGGATGTGGCACCAAGGGCCAGCTGTGCCTGCTGGTGTCCTCTAGGGCCCCGAATACACATGGACGACACGGGCCTCACCGTCATGCGGATCCTGTCCCAGCGCTCAGGGGACGAGGTGGCCAAAGAGTTTGTCAAACTCAAGTCTGACACACGCTCAGCTGAGGAGGGTAGGTGAGGATCATCCCAAATGGACAGAGCAGTCTGAAAAACACTGTCACTTCTGTGTCCTACTAAATACACCCCTGTCCTGCAGAAAAGGGCTCTTAGAGGCATGGGAGAGTTTCATTAAGGGCACTGGTGGTTTGGGTAGTGGATGAAAGGGAGTCATCTCTATAAAACAGAATCAACACTTTGATTTTTTATTTGTTTTGTATATGTGGATGAATGGTGGAAAACACACATATATACACCGCCAGCCACTGGCAAACTAGGACAAGTAAGGGTTAATTGTGCCATGTTTTATGGAAAACAAGATTGTGAGGGATTTTCCCACTGTACATTTCATACAGAAATTTGTGTTTGGATGAATCTCATGAAAACAGACCATATTTATCCCTCAAATGCTTATGCAAAAATGCAAAATATGAAATATAATATCAATCAAGGAATATGGAATTTTATACTTATACATTAACATTCATTAAAGGAAGCCTGTATTAGGACTTTTTTAACATCATTTTCTTGAATATTACAATTATTTTCTTCATTAAATTCTCTTTTATTTAAAAAGAAAAAACACGGTAATGCAATACATGTTTATTTGTAGTATTAAATACAGCACTAAAATTGTATGACGACATAGTTTTGGGTTTATATATAAATTATTTTAATTAAAAAAATAATCTAACAAAAATGGTAAATTTGTCTTGCATGTCTTTTCCACGGCTATTAAGATGATACCACCGCCGCTAAAATCTGTTAATTATTTAAAGTAAAATATATATATATATATATATATATATATATATATATATATATATATATATATATATATATATATATATATATATATATATATATATATATATGTATGTATGTATGTATGTATGCATGTATGTATGTATATACTGGAATACATTGAAGTTTAGTTTAATATGAAATGTTATTATATGTATTCATTTAATGAAATTGTACAATTAGTGCGCCAGATAATTTAAAGACATAATAATAACCTTTACTCTTTACAATAATAATTAAATCAGTACAGTATTCCACAATTCAAAATAAAATAAGTAATTACAATGCTTCAATTTTTTTCTTTCTGATTTTGGGGGGAAACTTTGACCATTAATATTTTTATGAGATTCAGCCAGTTTCACACTTTTTCATGAATTGAATCAACTTTCTCACACAAAGATTTTGTTTACTTGACAAAAAATATTCTTCCCTGACTTGTACTAATCTTGTTCTAAACTTGGTCTAAGTTGTTCTAATCATTTAGAATTTTGAATATGCTTTTTGACCTCGGAGCAGTAGATGGCGCTGTGTGGCAAGGCCATAACTTCAGTAGCATATTTAGTAAAATACAGAGATTCACATCCATTTGTGCACTTTTTTTTTTCTCTGTAAAGCCATGTTTTGGCCCATGTTTATTGCCTTATTTTTTTGATGCTGTGAATGTGTCGAGTAGAACTGTAAACATTATGATCGTCATGAACGTGTTTCGGGGGGCCAGGTCTCATTCACATGCTGTTGTGAAGTGAATTGTTGCATAAACTAATCAGAAAGGACAGAAATTGCACCATTTCACTACATGTCCCTCAGCCAAAAGTGTGCCTTCCTTCCAGGCTTTTGCATTCAGCGCTCGTTTCAGAAGTTAGTGGTTATTTAGCCGTCATCTTTCACCAGTAGGTGGCAGCAATAATAATCTCGATTGAACTTTTACAGCCGTTTTATCACACATACATGATTTTAAATGTCCACCGAAAGGATCATCAGACAGTATTGAAGCTATGACAAATTATGTGTAATGCTTTTTTTAATAATCAAAGGGATAATGGTGCAAAAAATTACAATTTCTGTTCATTTATTCGTCAAAGGACATTAAAGATTTTTGCTGAAATAATGAAATTAACAGCAAATTTCCATTATGGAGTAAACAACGCCTTTAATACTGAGAAATCTGCATCAATTTTGGTGAGAAAATCCATTTAAATCTCATTTATTAGATAATTTGATCTTTTATTAGAATAATAGTGAGTAGATGTATTATTATATATTTTTCATTTCAAAGTGGCCTTATTTAATTTTTTGGTTCAGATGTTTTCTGTTTAAATGATTTTAACTCTTTCTTTTTTTTCTTTTTCTTTAAAAAAAAATCAGTCTTTTCCCTCTGCTGTGAAGTCTTGTTGTTTCTTCATTTTGTTTGACTTGTTATTTCTCTTCACCTGTTCATTTGAAGGATTTTGTACTTGTGTTTCACTTTGTTTTTCCAGAAATGACTCAAGCGGCTAAATGAAGACTGTATAACACTAGATGTGTCTCCTCGTTGCCTGTGCAAAAAGTCTCACCTTGTTCATTGAAATCTCAACGTAAAAAAAATGTGTATTTTTCACAGAACACTGCCAACATGTAAAGTGTATGTTGATATTGCCAATTGTTGTTGTGACTATTGAACCTGTTATTTATTTCTGTACATTTCTTACTTCCACTCTGTGTCACTTTATATGCTGTTACCGTTGTTTAGCCAGCAGTGTTTTGGGGGGGAACTGTCACTATTTGTAATATACACATTCCTTGTGCCAACTTGTGGAAGTTCTCACTTTTATTATTATTTTTTTAACAATACTGACAATAATTACTGGCATCGATGAGTTTTAATGAGTTTACTCATATTTTTAAAGTCATATTGGTATTGTACGCAGTCACTGACCAGGAGAAATGTGTTAATAAAATGATGTTTGTGTGCACTCCATCAAATGATTTATACATAAAGTATCTTAAACTAATGTGGGTCTGATGTCATTTATGTAAATTCTCGTCTGCTTTCACTCTCAAATTTGAGGATGTTTTTTGAATGTAAGCCCTTTTCACACTGAAATTGAACATCAATTCTTCTCACTTACTTGCTTTTGAATGGAGCTACATAATACAAACATCTGGTACCATCAGACACCATTTTAATTTCTGGATGGTCTACTCCAATTCAGTCACACTGTGTGCAAATTTACACCATGACCAAATGGTTTGTGCACGTGCCGGCACGTTAATCTGTGTTGCTCATGTGGAAAATTTTTGTTTAAATCCGGCTGCCAACGTTTGCAGATTCTCTGCACTCTTCTCTGCATTCATTACATAAAAAAGGCAGCATGGACATGGTGTCTAACTATCTTCTTTTGTCTTTTATATTTACGACTCTGAGCAGTTCATCCAAGACCAAAATGCTGTCTGAATGAATGATGGAATCCTATAATCTCCATAAATGCTTTCCTGAACTTCAAACTAAATGACATTTCAAATAAGCAACAGAATTTGAAGTGACCTGTTGTTGCTTAAGAACTAATTAAATTTAAAACGTTATTTCCAGTTTGCTACAGCGTCCTCTAAAGTCCTTAAATGCACCCTTTCTTTTTTTATTTAATTTTCATTTATATTGCTGTTTGTTTTATCACTCAATCTTCTTTTCTACATTTTAAATTGATGCAATCTCTACATTTTAAAGGATTTTTTTATTAATGACAACAAACAAAATAATGCATATAATAATGCATAACGCATATTACAAAAAAAAAATGCATATATATTTTTTTATGAATTTGATTGCTGGACTGTTCCATGATGGATGTTTAATTTTGTATTATTAATATATTACATTATTATAATAATATTATATTTGATTGTATATTAAATAATATTTAATTACGTTAAAATTGTATTTGTAACTCTCACCATACAAAACATGATAGAAAACAATGCTTTATATAGTTTATAGGTATAATTTATACTTCTAGATATTTATTAGGGGCCCCCGCTTACCTCGCTTATTGGTTAAATCTGCCCCTAACTGAAGGCACATGATATGTGCAGTGATGTCAGAAATCAATGGTCTATTTGACAAACAAACAAATTAATCTGAAACAGACACCTCCCCAATGAATCACATGGCTATAAATAATGACAGTTGCCTATTTCGACTGGAAGGTGGGACTTCATTCGCTTTGGTGGCCATACTGAACTTGGCATTTCCCCCATTCATAGTAATGCGAATAAACCATCTTCTTCTATTCTTTACAGTATTCCTTACACTCCTTAAAAAGAAAGGTTCCAAAAGAATGCTGTGTAGTAATGCCAGAAGAGCTGTTTTAAGTTCCCAAAAGAACCTTTCAGTAAAGAGTTCTTAAAAAACTTTTAGTCAAAACAACAGGGGATTTTTTTATAATCTAAAGCAGGGATCACCAAACTTGTTCTTGGAGGGCCGGTGTCCTGCAGATTTTAGCTCCAACCCTAATCAAACACACCTAAACAAGCTAATCAAGGTGTTACTAGGTATACTTAAAACACCCAGGCAGGTGTGTTGAGGCAAGTTGGAGCTAAACCCTGCAGGGCACTGGACCTCCAGGAACGAGATTGGTGACCCCTGACCTAAACAAATTGTTCTGGAATGGTAAGGTTTGGTAGATGTTAACAATTCTTCAGTGACTATTGCCCTAGGTATATCCTTTATTTTTAAGTGTGTAGAACTTTGCATATGTAGCAAATGTGCGATTTGCAACATTACTTGTTTCTCCGCACTCTGAAGAGCAATAATGCTGTTTCACTCCATTAAATGAAAAAAGCAGCATGAACATGTTGTCTAACTATCTTCTTTTGTCTTTCATGGATCATACAGGTTCAGAACACCAGTTTTTTTTGTTTTTTTAACGTATAAAAATAAACGTTCCAATTGTTTTTTTAATGACATAGGAACCATTTTTGTTCCTCAATAAAGTTTTTTTTTTATCAAAGTGCTTCAGAACATTTTAACAATTTAATAAAGTGAACAATAAAATAACTGTGGCTCAAACACTGTCAACTCACAGCAAGGTCACTGGTTCGAGCTGGATTTTCTGTGTGGAGTTTGCATGTTCTCCCTGTGTTCACGTGGATTTCCTCCGTGTGCTCTAGTTTACCCCACAAGTCCAAAGGCATGTGCTATAGGTGAATTGGATAAACTAAATTGGCTAGAGAGTATGAGTGAATCTGAGAGTGTATCGGTGTTTCTCAGTACTGGGTTGCAGCTGGAAGGGCATTCGCTGCATAAAACATATCGTCACCCTAGAATTATAAGGTTCTATCTGACATTTTTGTCAAAATTGAGTTATTGACATATTCTTATTAAATGACAACTTATTTACATTATGTGATGTGTTTTTATAAGTTGTTTACATTTTAAGGCTTTTTATTTAAAAAACAAAAAAGGTGTATCTACAAAGTTGAACTCTAGCTTAGCTCTATAAGGTTCTATCTGTGACCCAATCAGCTTTTTTAATGCATGCACGAGGACCAATCAAGATCAGCTTTCTTTGTCATTTTGCCGGACTGCTCCATTGACAGCAGGAAACACCAGAAGAACAAAAATCACACAAAATCAGAGTCAATTAAATAATGCCACACCACACAAAATTTAAATGTGATGATTTAGAAGCATTTCTTGACACTGAGTTTATTTACATTTATTCATTCATTTTCTTTTCGGCTTAGTCCCTTTATTAATCTGGGGTAGCCACAGTAGAATGAACCGCCAACTTATCCAGCATATGTTTTACACAGCGGATGCCCTTCCAGCTGCAACCCAACACTGGGAAACACCCATACACACTCAATCACACACGTACACTATGGCCAATTTTAGCTTATCTAATTCACCTGTACCGCATGTCTTTGGACTTGTGGGGGAATACAGAGCACCCAGAGGAAACCCACGCAAACACGGAGAGAACATGCAAACTCCACACAGAAATGCCAACTGACCCAGCCAAGGCTCGAACCAGCGACCTTCTTGCTGTGAGGCAATCGTGCTACCCACTGCGCCACCGCGTCGCTAACATTGAGATGAAATGCTCAATATTACATTGTTGAAAAAAAAAAATGAATATTTAAAAATTTGTATATTGAATGTGAAATATTTTTATTTGTGTATATATAGTCAGTGAAACACTTTTCAGTGTTTATTAAACTCATTTGCTCATTGTCTGTTTCTTTTGAAGTCTATAAGTTTAACATTAAGCCTTGAAGGGCAAATACTTAATTTATTTCATGGGGCATATAAATCAATAAATATAATTCAATAATTTATTTAAAGCATAATATTTAATAAATATGAACATATTAATTAGATAAATTAACAGCTGCATTGAAAAAAAAAATATTTAGTACAGCCTTGTGTGCTTAATTTTAAAAGAAAAAATATTCATCCTAAAACATGAAATAAATGTTACAGAAAGCTAAATTTTAACTTTCTCTAAACTATATATTTTTAATGTATTTCTTGATAAGAAATGCTTCAATGAATGATCTGCCAGATAGAACCTTATAATTCCAAGTGGAAAATGACTTTTCAGAATGAGAAGGTTCTATCTGCATTTAACGTGGTTTATTTACTCCAATTTGCAAATGTAAGAGAACTTTAATAATTTACATTTAGAAAACCCTTAGGTTCTCTGTCATGTTAATGTATGAAAGAAATCTGTTACACACATGTTGTTTGCTATATAGAATGCAAAAACTTTGAAGCTCAATATCTCAAAATCATTCAGAACGCAGATATAACCTTATAATTCTAAGGTGACGATATGCTGGAATGGTTGGTGGTTCATTCCGCTGTGGTGACCCCTAATAAATAAGGGACTAAGCCGAAGGAAAATTAATGAATAAATAAAGTTCAATGATGGATCTTAACCTTTTAATAAATCTTAATCCTCTTAATGGATCTCAACATTTATTTTTGAGAGTTGGCACACGTGTCAAAACATATGATGCTCATATGGGAAATGTAAATTTTAATCTAGCTTGCAACATGTCCTCTACCCTCTTTCTGTTGTCCAATAAAAAACATAATAAACAAGATTGTTCTTGCAAATCTTCATCTGACATGTGATATGGAGTATCGTAAACATGAGCTGTTTTTATAGCCTGTAAACCGAGGAAAGAGATCCAGCTGCTGATCTAATGCAGAAGATTTTTATTGGAGTAATAGAAGAATTGTCCTTTTGTATATCTGTATAAATTTAAACAGGAAGATTTGGTGTCATACCCAATTGTAGCCGTTTTCAGACAACTCGCCCACGTCATTCCTTCATTCAACTGTTTTACCCGCTTCCCTCTTCCAGGGTCCAAAGATCAGCCAGTGTTTGCTTTCCGTGTGTCCCTGAACACATTACTCTGCAAAATCCCTCCATTTCCTTCAATCTTTCGAAGTCAACCAATCACTGACCCCCTCCGTAGGCCACAACTACAGCCCTGGAAACCCCGTCCTGACATTAGCCTACACCCTTTACCTATACTGTAAGCTGGAGACTTGTTTGCAGTGGCATTATGGGAAATGTAGTGAAGGTGTGCGTGTCCTTTTCCACGCATGTTTATGGGCTGCTGGTTTACTCTGAAACGCTGCTGTTTCTCTAGGGCTACTGGATGGCAGACGTGTGACTCCGGTAGGACACCTTTTGCTCCTGTGATTTTTCCTCGTTTTTTAATGTTTTCTGGATTTATTAAAGATTGCGTTGATCTAGTAAAGTTTTATTTAAAGAGAGTGAGAGGAAGTATTTTACATTGAAAGAAAGTTACTTATTGACTTTGCCTAGAGCCATTTGTAAGCAGTAAGCTTTGTTAAAAATACAGTACATCACACAAGTCGAGTGTGATAAGTTCTACTTAACATGCCTTTTTGGTCTATTTGTATATAAAGAAGAGTGGATGTTTTTCAAAAGTGAAGTGATAAGGTAGTGTGTTTTAGGGTGTGTGATTTTTCTTG